CCGAAGCATGATTTGGACATGTTTTTCATTCATTTTAGCAGGTACGTACGCAATATATATCTTTTCCTTTCTGTGATATTAGCTTGTCCGTTATGGATATTTTTCATTGTCATATGGATATTAATATGCTCTTGTTAAATATTAATTTGTGTTGGTCTGATATTAGTACTAATGTGAGTGGATATTAGTCTGGGCACTAATCTCTTTTCTCTTGCTTTCTAAATGTAGTTTGGTTGCTGAAAAAAGACGCAAGGAGAGTGATTCTGACTACAGTGGGAAACAATCGGTTCCCTATATAATGTTCGAGCACAGCCCGATCCTAAACATGCGGCAAAGATCTTTACTTCTAACATCTTCAATCGGATACAGCGGGAGTATTTGAAAACTGAAAAATATATAATGGAGACGCTCTCGGATACTAGGGATGATGGCATGATTGGCTACAACACATATATGATAGAGGATGGTGAGCGTAGTGATGAGCATGTCGTTCTCGTCGATATTTCTACGAGGACATTGGTATGCGAATGCAGAATGTTCAGAACTTTCGGAGTGTTATGCCGCCACATGATTAAGGTGATGCGGCTTCTTGGAGATTTGGGGGAAGCTAGTATGAGAAGTGTTCCAGATCATTACATACTCAAGCGATGGACGTTGGAGGCGAGAAAGAAAGAGGTTGTTGATGTTGATGGTTCTGTTGGTCCTTCAGCTTCTAGTGAGAATGATGCGGGAAAAGATATAGCAATGCGGTACCGAGAAACCACTACAATGTTGAATCAGCTAGCAACGAACATGTCGATGGCCGATGAGAAGGACTACAATAAGTGGATGGGAGTAATCAAGAAATTGTGCAATGAGGCAAACAAGGCATTGTCAAAGACTATTACTAGCGAGGACAGTAAGTATATTCACTAATATCATTTGTAAATTGTTAGAGTTTAATATCATTGCATTTACTAAATTATCTACCATTGTAGGACGGAATGTACCGATAACTGGGCTGACTTTGAAGAAGAAGAGTAATCCAAGGAGCCAAGGTAAGGAACGTTATAAGTCTACCAATGAAAAAGAACGCCGTCTAAAGAAACGTGTCTATAAGAAGAGAATGAAATCAGTTGAAGTGGTCACGCCGGACAACAATACTAAACCGGATGACCATATTAGTTATTTGGATGATAATATTGCTCAATGGTTATGAATAGAATGTAGGGAGGTTCGAGAGTGGTCTATTTTGATATGATATTGACAAGTGATTCCAGGATACGTTTTGTAAAGAAGTGGATATCAATCCACTTGTAAAGGATACTTGTCTGGGCAAACTTGATATGCACTCTATTTTGTACAGATATAGGTCTGGGCTTCCTGGATATTTATGTATAGAATGTAGGGAGGTTCGAGAGTGGTCTATTATGATATGACATTAAAGGATAATATCCTTTACAAGTGGTCTATTTATGTATAGTATCCACTTGTGAAGGATACTTTTCTGGGAAAACTTGATATGCACTCGATATAGTACAGATATTAGTCTGGGCTTCCTGGATATTTGTATTTTCAATGCAGGTACAATTGTTCCAATGATTACTTATTTCACTATTCACATGTGACCTTTTTTGTTACTACTCATGTGATCTTTTTTGTTACTGTGCTCATGTGACCTTTTTTGCATTTGTCTATTTAAGACAAATCATACACAAACCCAAATCTGCAAATTTAGCTATCCTCCTCTGTCAGTTTCTTCTTCACTTCTCTTCCAAAGCAAAATCCATGTCTGGAGAGACTCCTAAACCAGCGCGTCGGGGATTGGTGGATGAGTTCGAATATGACGGTGTTGTACTCTGTTACCATGGTTGGAGAGCCGCCAAACGACTTGCTGTTGATGGAGTCAACCCACCGAAGAGGTATTTCCGATGTCGGATGTACGAGTACAACAATGATAACGGGTGTGGTTTTCACATGGATTGGGATGAAGTAATGTTCGCCGGTTTTTCAGAGTCGGATGATGAAGATAACACCGAGGAGACCGTGAAGAAATGAATTAGTATTTCCTGTCATCACTTTGTATTGCGTTCAGTCTGTTTCTATTTCTGATTGAAAGTGTTATCCATCTTTATCGGGTATTAGTCTGGGTATTTGGGATATTTATCCTAGTCTTATGGATATTTGTCTGGGTCTTTAGGATATTCATCTGGGTCTCTAGGATATCTGTATGCGTCTTTCGGATATTTGTATGCAATTTTTTGATATTTGTCTGTTCTTTAGGTATATTAGTCTGGGTTTCCTGGATATCAGTATTATAAAAAGCAGGTCCAATAGCATTGTCAAAGACTGATATTTACCTGGGAGGTTACAATATATGGTGCAATCAGAATTTATGTTGGTAATTATATCCAACAACTACAAAATTATCCTCCATCCTAATACAAACCATCATCCATTCCTAATTATATCCAACATCTAGCAAAATATCCTCCATCCTATCCAGCACGCCTAAACAAATCTAAAATCAATTTCTCTTCTTTTTCCCTTTCCCTTTCTCTTTCTGCATACTCCAATCTTTTGCTTCTTGAATTATTGCATCCTTGTCGCCGTTATAGTTCCATAACAGGAGGTTAGCTGCAATCCGTGTTCGTTGTTCCTCCACATGTTCCTGCTTGTGCCAACTGTTTTTACATTCCACCGGAAGGTGACCCGCCCTTAGCTCCATGTAAAGGCAAGCGAATACACCGCAATCATCGTTGCCAAATTGCTGAGGAACGTCTACAATGCTGAATTCCCACTCATCCAATTTACAATCGACCCCCTGCTCTTTGAAGAACTCTGTCACATACTCAAAAATCACTTTCCCCACTGGTCCATGATCCTCCTTAGCCACTCGGGCATTGGGCTTTTGGCTATCAAGTAGGAAAGTCTTCCTATTCTTCATGTCAGCAACATACACTCGGTAGTGATCATTTCGAAACATTGGAAAGAAGATCTGAAACACAATACAGTTAGTGAGTTAATCATTGTCTAATATCCTAACAACCCAGGTTAATATCTTAACAACCCAGAATAATACCCGATAAAGAAGAATAAAATATCCTATACACCCAGACCAATATCAAGGAAAGTCAGAAAAATATCCAAACATTGAAGACACTTACATAATCACATCTTTCCAAGTTTTCTCATTTCAGCAATGGATTATTCTTGTACATAGAAATAATTGCTGAGACTCTCGCCTTGCCCATGGGTTGCTTTTTTTATAGCATCAGCGACGGCATGTTGCTATTTAGAAGAGACAACAATAAATAATTAGACAATTTCAACATAAATAGGATATAAGTAGTGAAGATAATACTTACTAAATAGCTCCATGGGAAGACAATTCTCTTCACCATCTCCTTACGTTCTTCTTGGTCATTTAGGAAGTGCCCGTATGCTACAATTACTTGGGTATGAACCCACCTTTTACGCTTCAATGACAATATTTGGCAATGGCTAAGACTGCAATTTGGAGTTTCCACGATATAGTCGTGATTGTAAAACACAAATGAAAAACCAGGTTAGTAGCCATGAATTTGACAAATTGAAATTGGCGATCAAAGAAGGAAACATGACAACTTACTCATCTTCAGCTGTGGTACTGAAGACGAACTCAACCACTTGCAGTGCCGTCACGTCAAGTTTTGTCGACAGAGTCTTAGGCAAAACGTACACTGATGAGTCGAAAGGGTGGTGTTTTGACCTCTCGAATGCAGGAGTTTTTAGAGTGGCTTTCCATGATTCTGGTGTGATGGAGTGCATCAACTCTGCCTCCTCCTGAGTCATAGCCCTCTCACTTACGATCACATCATTGTCGCTATGCTCCATCATCCTCTGGCATGCTGCTGCTATAAGCTCCCCCTCTGATGGTAATGCTTCTCCCTGCGTTAGAACCTCAGTAGCAGCAGTTGCCTCGACAGGTATCTGCAACTGATTGCCAAAGGTTAGTATCTACTAAAAAAAAACAAATATCCTAGAAGCCCAGGCTAGTATCCATAACAAAGAAAAAAATATCCTGGAAGCCCAGGCTAGTATCCATAACAAAGAATCAAATATCCAGAAAGCCCAGACTTGTATCTACTCAAAATGAAAAAAATATCCTGGAAGTCCAGGCTAGTATCCATAAAAAAAAATCAAATATTACCGTTATCGGAGATGTCCTCATATTCTCTTCAGCAGCAGCAGTGGCCTGAAAACCAATCTTAGCCACATCAGCGAATGTGATAGACAGGTCGGTATAATGCATGACATTCTTCACCACTTCCGACTCCACCACTTCAACCACGTCATCAACTGTTGATGTAACTGCTGGCAACTCCAACTCCTGAACATTCTTCTTACTTCTTTTCCTGGAGTATACACGGCCAAACATGTTGTTTCCTCCATGACAACTCCCCGATCTTCCTCCTCTATGACAACTACCTCATCATCAACTTCCTCCTCTTCCTCAAATTCCTCCTCGTCCTCCTTCATGACGTCTACCTCCTCTTCCTCAACTTCCTCCTCTTCCTCCTCCATTACAACTACCGGATCTTCCATTTTAGCTTTTGCTGCTTGTTCCAAAGACGAAGAAAATACTAAGAATCTGCCCCGATTCCTGTCAAGCTCAGCACCCAAAAAGTCGAGCTGGAAAACAGTGCAGGGATATAAAGGTTAATATCTGGACTGCCCAGGTACGTATCTAACAATTTATCAACGAATATCCACGAGAACACATTAATATCCGCTTTGTGAAAGAGTTAATATCCATTTGTGTTGTACTGGTATCCAGAATGCAAAATATCCACAATGCAAAATATCCATAATGAAAAATATCCATAATGAAAAAAATATCCAAAACAAATACACACCAATATCCTACTATCAACAGAAAACAACGATACAACGATTGTTCAAAGCCATTCCAACATGGCAATTATATAATTCAATAAAGCTCCATTACAACCACTTAATGATATTGAAACATGCAAAGTTCAATTCTTGTCTTGCTGGCGCTTAATGGCAACCCTTCGGACACTTTCCCGCCATGAATCCCACTTATGTATCACTTTTTCAGTCAAGGACTGCAGTACCTTAATCTACACATACATCCCAAAAAATTTAGTTTATTACATGCACTCGTGTCTACTAACCCCATGATTTCCAGTTTAAAAGACAATAATTTAATTACCTCGTCGGTATCAAGGGACTCCAAGTATGTTTCCTCCAACCATTCTGTCGTGTATAACCGCGGAGAAGCTGTATGAAGAGCTGAGCTACTTGTTCCTGATTCCCACTCCCTCCTGCCACGTCCTGGACAGAAGCGAGATCGGACTTCTTCTCTCGACAGCAACACGGGAGCCACATCATATAGCTCTGGCTTAGGGATAGATAAGCATACGTTATCCACCCTTGGTTCAAACCAATAGCTGCAAGTGGGTATTGTAGTGGTGGCAAATCCTCTCACCTTAAGGAAATCCAACAAATGAAGCTACAAAAAAAGTGTCTGTTAGAAAAGATATTCAAATAAAAAACAACAAATATCCAGACAGCACAGATTAGTACCCAGTCATGCTAAAAAGATATCTTGTATCAAAATAACTTACCATCAAGAAGTGGATATCCCCATTAACCCACTGCAAATTTTTTCCCTTGGCCCTAGCTTTAGCTTCTCTTTTTTTGGTAACAGTCAACTCTAGCTTCAGCTATCGGGCGACGTGACCACTCCAATTAAAAGTTCGAATGTCCTCAACCATCCCCGCCAAGTACTCTGCATAGTCGAACTTATAGATCCGGGAGCTTGTTGGAACGAGCAACGAACCAAGAGCCACAAGTAGGAACTGCTTCACTGCAACTGCAACAGGTGGTCTCTTCCTCTCTTTACCTCGACCTTTAGTCGACTTAGTCAGCTTAACCATCTCCACAACTTTAACATTTCGTTCCCGATTACCCTCCATGCCGAGCTCCTCCTTCAGAACCTTGAGCATCGAGTTATTTGCCTTCACAAGATCAATCTCAGCACCGCCAAGAGGAATGCCGTATACACGGGCAGCATCCTCATCTTCAATAGTGAGCACCTGTTGCAGGTTAGATGAACAAAGACCGATGAGCCAGAAGGTCAAGCATACAACAAAATATCCAATAAGCATACAACAAATGGTGAGCACCTTTTTATTTTTGCCTTCACCAAAAATGAAGCTGCTGGTGTGGATGTCGTAATGTGCCATCAAGGTAGGCAGCATCTTCTTGGGAACATCGACCAGCCGAAGCTCAAATAGGCTTCCAAATCCACCATTCTCGATCTCTCTCTCTCTCTCTTGCAAGCTTCATAGTATCGTGGATCTTGCTTCCAGTCTTTTATAATTGACAGCACCTTGTTGGTGCTACAGCGAAATCTATATATTCGGCCTCCTACTTCTTCAGCAACTTGTTGACCATTTCCTGCGTCCTCACCATCTTCTTTCTCATCATCTTCGTCCTCGTGCTCAGTTTCTTGCCCATCATCGACTTTTTCATGATTTTCTTCATGCTCAATTTCTTCATCCCCAAAATCAGATTCTTCTTCTTCCTCTTGGGGTTGTTGTTTAGCACGTTTAGGCCTCGAGGTTTCAGCTTCCTCGGGCCTCATTACTGCTGTTATGGGCCTCATTGCTGCAGCAGCTTTAGTTCTTGCCATTGTTGTGTTTTCCTTGTACATTAGAATACTCAAATTCGTCAAAACTGATACCCAGATACACCAAACAGATATCCAGGAAAAATACAGCTGATATCCATATACACCAAACAGATATCTAGGCAAATCACAACTAATATCCAGATATAACAAACAGATATCAACACAGATCCAGTCAAATAAGAAAAAATAAAATCGGGTTACCCAAAATGGTAGCCATGTAGATCAGGGAAATACCCAAACCCATCAACACTCGTATCCATCACACAAACCCCAACCAACCATTAACAAGCCGAGCCAGCCAAAACCCACAATCCATTAAATCCTAAATACAATCCATGCTAAAACCTAAAAATGAATCTATGAAATAAAACAATCGGCAGAGAGAATGAAGCAAGGGGAAGACATACCATCACCGTCGCGATGCTTACAAGCCACCGCCGCCGCAACTGTCGTGACCGTCATCCTCGCCAAAACCGTCAAAGTCGCCTCGCACCACCGTCGCCGTCAAACCCTCGCGCCACCGTCGCAGTCGTCGATCGAGTGAGTGAAAGGAGCGGCCGCAGCATAGAGAAGGAGAGGGAGCGGCGGCAGAGAGAAGGAGAGAGAGCGGCGGCAGACATGGGCGGACGATTTTAGAGAGAGAGGGAAAATGGTCGACTGAATGGCTGAGGAAGCAAATATGGGGCAGCGTTTTGGGAATTTAAAATTTGGGTTTTTTGAATTTGTGGGCCCTGCGGTCCTATTTTTCTTTTCAGGCCCTGGTTGACGTGGAGGCACGTCCGGCTTTGTTAGTATCTACTAACAAAAATGCTTGTTAGTAGGATAGCTAAATTGATCATAAATAAAATAAAATAAATCAAACAAAAACACACATGCAGGGCGGATTTTACCCGTATCGTAGCCTTCCCGGTCAGGTTAGCTTGATCCGAGCCGTCTCCTTGGCTAGCCGAGAAATGAGAGAAAGTGAAGGATTTTGGTGTTTAGAGAAGGGTTAAGGTTTTGGGTTTTCCTTTTGTTTTTTGCGAAAGGATAAGAATGAGAAGAAGACGGTGACGGTTTGACGTTTTGCTTCTCTGGAAGAGAAGAAGAGACGCGAGAGTGAGAGGAGAGAGGGGAGAAGAGAGATGGCGGCGATTGTGGGATGAGAAACCAGATGGTTTATGGTTTGGAGAAGCAAAAACGAGTGAGAGAGGCGAGAGAGTAGGCTAGCGGCGGTCAATTAGAGAAGAATAGGGTTTCGTTTCTCGTTTAAGACATTTATATATGTTTCCAAATGTCCAAATTGCCCCTAGGGTTTCGTTGATATTACATGCCCATGCCACCGCGTTTTTGGCCATTTACCAAAATGCCCTCCCCCCATCTCTGCCTTAAAAAACTAAAACACCAAACTTTGTGTCTTTCGAGATTCGAACTTGGGTCTTCGGACATATGTGTCTGACGCCTTAACCGGTTGGACTGCTAGGCCCTCATGCAAAAGTGAAGTCATCTCATTCATATTTATTTGTTTTAAAATTCTTAATACGAAATGTTGAATGCGGATTAAGTTTATCTCGTTTCTTTTCCAATGCGTCAAAATATTTCCTAGTAACTTAAATTCTTATATAATATTTTTATAATTTCATAATAATCAATTTAAATTTTATTAACGAAAATTATAATACGAGAATTACGTTCAGTGGAACGTGGTAAAAGTTATAATTAAAACGATCAAAGTTCCTAACGAACTACGTGGACTTTGATCCCTTCTAACAGGTACGTAGGCAACCGATAAGGTTCGAGTCTAACTAACCAATTAACTTTATCTTTTAATATTTACGTCAATGGGCGTATAATTAATTTACAACCAATAGAATTTAAATTCTTAGTGGTTTAGGAAGGCCATAAAATACCTAATAATAAACTAATACGTCAATGGACGTTTGGCTAAATTATATCTAACATAGCAATATATTCAATGGTCCAGTGGGACCCCTAAAATTACTAACTTATTACTAAATATACACCCAACTAATATGAAACTTATCGACTTAAGTAGTACCGATTTAGGGCGGTGTGGGTTGTGATTTCACTTCCCCACATGTAACAGTACTCTCGAACCCATATCTCTTAACCGCAGACCATATCTCGGTTCTGAACCCTAAGGTTAGAGCCGACCGATGAGTGTTCGATCCACTCCAATTAAGATCGATGGCGACTCCCAAAAATGCCGACGCGACGACATCGAACCCCGGAGGGACGGTTGCGACACTGATGTTAGTGGAGAAGAGGTTGAATAAGTGGAAGTTGAACCCGTCATTGAAGTGGAAATGGCGGGGAACCAAAGGCAAGATGGCGCTCAAGCCCGCCAGTTGAAGGATCCGGCGGAGGATGAGGATTCCCCTAGGACAATGGGGTACTATATGGCCCCAAGGCCTGCGGACATTCAATCGCCAATCCTACATCCTCCAGTGGCTGCAAACAATTTCGAAATCAAGTCAGCTCTAGTGACTATGATACAAAGTAATGCTATATTCCACGGCCTTGAGAGCGAGTCACCAAGAGAGCACGTGCAGAGATTCTTTAGTGCCCTTACCACGGGTTTGAAGAACAGTTTCAGATCGAAACCTTCTATGGAGGCCTAATGCAAGAAGATAAAATCCTCATTGACTCCTTGTGTCAAGGGAAATTGATGAATATGGCTTCACCCCAAATAACTGAGATACATGAAGACATGGCCCTTAGGTGATACGATTGGGTTGACTAGAAGTGGAAGAAGAAGCAATGATAGGGGAGTGAGAAGCGTGGGAGCGAGTGCTCCGCTTGAGGCGAAGTTGGATAAGTTTCTTAAGGTTCTGCTTGAAGATAAGAGGCAAGGAAAAAGGACGGTAATGTCGTGTGACTGGTGTTTGAGCACCAGTAATGAGATGGCGGAGTGTCAAGCAATGAAGGAGGCAACCACTCCGGAGGAGCAAGTCAACTTTGTGGCAAATGCTAGGGCCAACAACCCATATAGCAATACTTATAACCCCCGATGGAGGAACCACCCCGACTTTGCTTGGGCATCGCCGACAAATTCGAGGCCCCGGGGTTTTCAAGGCCCCACTGGAAATTTCCAACCTCGCTCGACCTTCATCCAACAAGGACCCCAACTTCAAGGCTCAAGCTTCCAACAACTGTACCAATCACAAGGTGCCCCAAGGTTTCAACAACAACATCCCGACAAGCTATCTAAGCTTGAAGACCTAGTGAACACCTTTTTGAGTACGAGTAGCCAAAAGTTGGAGAAGATAGAGCAATTTATGGATGTGCCGACTACCAAGTTTACCTCGATTGAGACGAGTCTCTGATGTCATCAAGCGAGCCTCCAAAGCTTGGAGGCGCAAATCGGAAACCTTTCCGACATCCTCACCGACAGACCCAAGGAGGCTTTACCCTCCCAAACCGTGGTGAACTCCAAGGACCATGCCGGGGTAAATGCACTTCAAGTGAGGAGTGTGAAAGTCATTCTGGAAGTCGCCACTAATGAAGTGATAGAGAAGGAAGGTACTAACAAGGAAGGTACCGAACCAAAGAAGGGAGAAGGGAAGCCCTCGTGGAATGAGAGGAAGGCGGCAAGAAAGGCATTGCCGGAGGACGGATACACTCCACCTCTTCCTTATCCCCCAAGGATGTACAATGAGAGGTTGGAGAACGAGTGTGGAGGGTTCATGGAAATGCTCCGCAACCTCCACCTCAACGTCCCCTTCCTTGAAGCCATGGCTGAAATGCCAAGATATGCCAAGTACCACAAAGGATTCCTCACCAAGAAGCCAAGGCTTGAAGGCCTCTCCAACGTGACTCTTGGCGAGGAGTGTTCAGCTTACCTCCTCGAACGCTTGCCCAAAAAGCGGTCTGACCCAGGTAGCTTTACTATCCCTCTTGATATTAGTAACCATCATATAGACAATGCCTTGGATGACCTAGCAGCTAGTGTTAATGTGATTCCCTACAAGCTTTTCAAAAAGTTAGAAGTAGATGGACTTAAGACCTCTAAGCTTAGCATCACCTTAGCCGACCATTCGGTCATTAGCTCGAGAGGTATCGTGGAGGACATGATGGTGAGAGTGGGCAAGTTTTGCTATCCGACCGATTTTGTGATTCTCAATACAAGTGAGGACTCGGATATGCCCCTCATCCTCGGTGGACCCTTTCTTGCCACCGGCAAGGCATTGATAGATGTTAGGGAGGGGACCTTAATTTTTAGGGATGGAAAGGAGAGATTCAAGCTTGAAATTGATCCTAGGGTTAGGAGTGATGAAGTGAAGGGAGTAGTTTCAAATGATGTGAATGAGA